TTTTCGTAGGGAGGCCAGTGAGTTAGGGTAAGGTTTTCGCTCGCAGGCCAATGGATTCGGAGAAGAATTTGGCACGTAAACCTGGTGTTAAGATAAAGCTTTCGTAGGGAAGCCGCTGAGTTATGATAAGTTTTTCGCCCGCAGCCCAATGGGTTCGGAGAAGCATTTCGCGCGCAAGCCGGGTGTTAGGATAAGGTTTTCGTGGGGAGGCCAGTGAGTTCGGATAAGGTTTTCGTAGGGAGGCCGCTGAGGTTACCTCAGTGAGGTAGGATAAGATTTCCCTCGCAGCCCAGTGGATTCGAAAAAGCATTTCGCGCGCAAGCCTGGTGTTAGGATGCGTTTGTTAGTTAGGATAAGGTTTTCCGTATGGAGGCCGTTGAATTAGGATAAGGTTTTCGATCGCAGCCCAATGGATTCGGGGAAGCATTTTGCGCGCAAGCCTGGTGGACAGTGGGACAGTGGTGGGGGCGGTAGTGGTGGGGATTGGTGAAGGCGGTGGTGAGGACAGTGTGGGACAATAGTACAGTGGGGAAAGTGGTGGGGGCAGTGGGGACGGTGGGACAGTAATGGGGACAGTGGGGACGGTGGGACAGCACGGTTGGACAGCGGCGGGGACAGTGGGACAGTGGTGGGAACAGTGGGGACAGTGGGACAGTGGTGGGGACCGTGGGGAAAGTGGGGAGAGCGGGACAACGGCGGGGAGAGTGGGGACAGTGAGACACTGGTGGGGGCACTGGTGGGGACAGCGGGGACAATGGTGGGAACAGTTGGGGCAGTGGGACAGTGGTGGGGACTGTGGTGGTGGGGACAGTGGTGTGGGGATAGTGGGAACGTTGTGGAAACAGTGGGACAGTGGGGGGTACAGTGGTGGTGGAGACAGTGGTGAGGGCGGTGGCGAGGACGGCGGTGGGATAATGGGACAGAGATGCAGTAGGGGCAGTGGTGGGGACACTGGGGGCAGTGGTGGGAACAGTGGGGCAGCTCAGTGAGACAGCGGCGGGGACAGTGGGACAGCGGGGACAGTGGGACAGTGGTTGGGGCCGTGGAGAAGTGGGGAGAGTGGAACCGTGGTCGGAACAGTGGCGGGGACAGTGGGGTCAGTGCGACGGTGGAGGGGGCATTGGTGGGGACAGTGGGGACGGTGGTGGGAACAGCGGGGACAGTGGTGGTGAGGACAGTGGTGTTGGGGACAGCAGTGGGGGATGTGGTGCGGACGGTGGTAGGGACCCAGAGTTGTTTGCCGGCGGTGAGCGTGGGGGGGGGGAGGGGTTCGAACCGGTAGTGACCCCCTTGGTTTTCGAGGGGGGGGGAGGTCCGAAACGGTAGTGACCCCCCCCGGTGTTCGAGGGGGGGGGGGGTACGGACGACCACAACCACATACCAGACACGGGGGGGGGAGCACGGTCGACCCCGCCCTCTCGTCGTCCTCCTCCTCCTCCTCCTCCTCCTCCTCCTCCTCCTCCTCCTCCTCCTCCTCCTCCTCCTCCTCACCCCTCGCCCTCCTCATCATTCCGTTGCCTTCTTCCTCCCTTTCCTTGGGGGGTATAACATTTGAAATTAGGGGATCCGTGGTTTCCTGACCGTCGGGAGGTCCTGGCAGGGCCCAGGGATTTCTGAACATTTTCAAACTTGTAAGAATTTTAAAAGTTCTAGGGCGCCAGCAACTTTTAAAAGTTTTAATTCTCATACAAAGTTTTGAAATTTTGGGGATCCCTGATTTCCTGACCGTTGAAGGGGTCATGGAGATGTGGGAACCCAGGGCCCAGGGATTTTCAAAAGTTTAAAACTTTTAGGGCGCCTGAAACTTTTAAAACTTTTGAGAAGTTTTACAAGTTTTGAAACTTTGGGGGGGCCTGGTTTCCTGAACGTCGGGAGGTCTTGGAGATCTGGGAATCCAGGGCCCAGGGATTTTCAAAAGTTCTACAATTTTTAAAAGTTTCTAAATTTTTAGGGCGCCTAAAATTCTTAAACCCTTTAAAACTTTGAACCCCTTACGGGAAGGCATCTTAGAGCGACCGGTCCCTTTAAAACGGGAAAGGATTTTAGGCGGACCGGCCCCCCTAAAACCGGATGGGATTTTAGGGGGACCGGTCCCCCCAAAACGGGAGGGGATTTTAGGGGGACCGGCCCCCCTAAAACAGGATGGGATTTTAGGGGGACCGGTCCCCCTAAAAACGGCGCCCATTTTAGGGGGACCGCCCCCCTGGGCTGAGGGCTCGAAATGTTCGTTCGGGTCCCCCGTCTAGGCCTACTCTTGGAGCCGTCTCGGGGGCCTCTTAGACCGCCTTGGAGGCCTTTTGGGCCGTCTTGGAGCGATCTTGGGGATGCCTCTTGGAGCGATCTTGGGGATGCCTCTTGGCGACGACGACAGAGGGGGGCCTCTTGGGCGCCTCTTGGAGCTTGCTGGGGCTTCTTGGGGGCCTCTTGAAGGCTTCCTGGAGCCTCTCAGGGCCTCCTGGGAGCCTCTCGGGGCTGAGGGTTCGAAATGTCCGTTCGGGCCCCCCGTTCAGGCACACTCTTGGAGCCGTCACAGAGGCCTCCTAGGCCGTCTTGGAGGCGTCTTGGGCCGCCCTGGGGCCTCCTTGGTCGTTTTGGGACCATCTTGGAAGCCTCTTGGGCCGTCTTGGAACGATCTTGGTGGTGCCTCTTGGGGCGTTTTGCAGGCCTCCTGCGGGAGGCATTTTAGGGGGAGGGCGGTCCCTATAAGACGGGAAGGTGTTTTAAAGCGACCGGTCCCCCTAAAACCAGATGGGATTTTAGGGGAACTGGTCCCCCTAAAACCGGATGGGTTTTTTTTGGGGGGACCGGTCCCCCTAAAACGGGAGTGGATTTTAGGGGGACCGGTCCCCCTAAAACAGGATGGGATTTTAGGGTGACCGGTTCCCCTAAAAACGGCGCCCATTTTAGGGGAACCGCCCCCCTGGGCTGAGGGCTGGAAATGTCCGCTCGGGTCCCCCGTCTAGGCACACTCTTGGAGCCGTCGCGGGGGCCTCTTAGGCCGCCTTGGATGCCTCTCGGGCCGTCATGGAGCGATCTTGGGGATGTCTCTTGGGGCGTACGACGACGACGATGGCGGCGGCGGCGACGACGTCGGAGGGGGGGGCCTCTTCGGAGCCTCTTGGGGCTGACTGGGGGCCTCTTGGGAGCTTCTTGGGACCTCTTGGTGGCTTCCTGGAGCCTCTTGGGGCCTCCTGTGAGCTTCTTGACGGCCCAAGAGCGTCCCAAGACGGCCCAAGAGGCCCCCCAATACGGCTCCAAGAGAGGGCCCAGACGGTGAACCCGAACGGACATTTCGAGTCTTCGGCCCCGAGAGCCCCCCAGGAGGCCTTGAGAACCCCCCAGGAGCCCAAGAGCTCCCTTGAAATGCACCATGAGGCTCCCAAGAGACCCTCAGGAAGCCTAAATGGCGCCATCATCTGGCTCAGACAAGTCTGCGAGAGCGCCCACCGCCGCTGTCGTGCGAAACGCATCTCCGTAACATTTCCCAGCCTGAGCCATGGCCGTCTTCGAGCACGGTTTCGCCCCTGGTGCTTGGGCGCCCGGCGAGCCCGTCAGCTTGGAGCTCGTTCAGTGGCGCTTCCTCAGCGCCCGCCTGTGCCGCGCCCTGCGCGCCGGCGGCGGGCGCGCCCTCGTCTCCGACGACATGGGCGGCTACGACGTGTGCAACAAGCTGCACAACGTATCGCGCCGCAGGGTGCGACGTGAGCCTTCGCGCCCAATGACGCGCGTCTCCCGTGCATGTTTGCCCGACCCGTGGAGGCGATGAGGGTGGCGGCATGGGCTACGGGCGCGGACCGCGGGCGCCGCCAGGTCATGGTCGACTGTCGCGCTGACGAGCCAGGCTTCCGCACCCGGTTCCGCGTCTCCTACGCGACCACCGTGGCCACGATGACTGAGCAGTTCAGGGGCCTGTTCCTGGTGGCGCGCCGCATGCCCATGGACTTCTGGGTGAACGGCCGGCGCATCCACGGTCGCGCGACGGCGAGGCGCGCCTTCGACCTGGATTGCGCGGCGGCGCATTTGCGGCGAGGGGCGCTGCGAGGGGGGGGGGGGGGGGCAGGGCGGCGAGTGAGGCGCGCAGCGGCAGCAGCGCCATGGGGGCGCGGGGGCGACTCCAGGGGGCTGGTAGTGGGCGCGCGGTGGCGGGTCCGCGGCGAGACGCGCATAGACGTTTTCATTGTGAACGTATCGATGGGCGCTCAGCCCCGAGATCGCGGGTAAAGCTTCAGGAGGCCGTGCCATCGGGCTTCAACTCTTCCTTTTCCTCATCCTCATCCTCCTCGTCATCGCTCCTCCGCCCCGCCCCCACTCCCTGGGGCCTCCCTGGACTTGGCAAGTACCGCAGGCCTTGGCCTCGAGGGCGCTCGAGACTTCCTGGGCCCCCCCTGCGGCGGCTAAAACGCGCGAAGGCATTTTTTTGATAAAAAGTGTGTCGGTGCGTGGCCCGTCAGTTTCAGTTTCAGTTGCGCCGGTCAGCATGAAGGTAGACATTGCCCGCGCAAGCGTGGGGGGAGGAGAGGTAGGCCAACTGCCCCGCGTTGTGCTTCCATTCGCGCGGGAATGTTGCGGAACGGACCCTCTCTGGCGAGTTGTCGATTCATATGTCGGTTGTTTTGAGCCGCGTTCAGGCCCCTCGGGCTCCCTGTGAACTGTCGCATTCTTTGGGGGTGAGCGTGGTCGCCGAAATCGTGTCGCGCAGTCCTGCAGGAGTATTTCCCGATATGTTTCTTGAGTTTACGGGGCGCTTGCGTGTGATCTCTTGAATGCCACTTAATGTGTCTGCCCCCCTGACCTAGTATTCCGTGGAGGCCGCCTAGGCGCCTGGGCGCCTCTCGGCGGACCGAGGGCGATCCTGGTGCCGGCCGGCTATGCATGCCCAGAGAGGCCGAGGCGGGGATGAAGACCAGATGCCAGCAGAGGGCCCCGCCCCCACGCGCCCGCCCCCGCGGAGAGGAAAAGTGTTCGTCGAGGGGCGTGCTCTGCCAGGCCGGCCCCGCAAGGCCGGATCAGGCCCTACCGCCGTCTCGCCGCCTTTGCAGGCGCAAGCGTCCGCGCCGCATTAGCTTTCAAGGCAGGCCCAGCGTCCGCGGCCCCCGCCGGGTCGACGGCCGTGAGCGAGGAGCGTTGCCAGTTGATGCAGTCGACGGGGGAGTTTGCGGAGCGCTCGTGGCAGAGCAAGGGGCGCTTTATCGCCGGGGACCGCGCCTAGCTGCTCGAGTCGGCGTGATACCAGGGCGTGCGCTCGGCGCACCCGCCTTTCCCGATCTTCACGCGCCAGCTCGGCCTGATGCCCGTTTTGCCCAACGGCGCCAAAGCCCGACCCGCTCTGCCTCGCAATGGTGAACAGCAACCACAGTCAGTCGCGCAAGAGCCGGCTGACGGGCACGGCTGAGGCCGCAGTCGGGCACGTCGACAGCCACGTGGTGAAGCGAGCGCAGGTTATCTTCGAAGCCGAGGAGCAGGCCCTCAAGGACATCGCGGCGTCCAAGAGGCGGAAGACGGGCAAGGGCGGTGCATCGGCGTCGGCCGCCTCCTTGACCGCCGCGGAGGAGACGCCGGCGCCGGGCGCGGCGGAGGAGGCGCTGCCCGTTGGCGAGGTCGACGACAGCAAGATGGTTATCTTCCCTTGGACGTGGTCGCACGCCTTCCTCGGAGGACCATCGAACGGGTGCGCGAGCGCTGCGCCGGCGACTATTCCATCATTCGGCAGACGAAGGTCGTCATGAAGCTTCCCGCCATGAGCGCCGATTGGCTCGCTGGGCCCCCGCTGGCAGATCTGGACGTGGCAGAGAAGGCGATGGCCACGCAGTCTGGCTTGCGCGGGGGGATCTGGTTCGGGCCTCGTCTACGACGAGGTCTACCAGCTCTTGCAGGACCTCTTCGATCCTCGACAAACCGAACGAGAAGAGAGCCGTCGAGGGGCCCCGGGCTGGTCAGACTCTTCTGGCGGGCTGGTTCAACAGGCTCGTCCAGTGCGGCGATTCAGACCATGAGACCAAATCCAACGGGGCGCACGGCGGGTTGGATGCTCCGACAGTTTCGATGACGATCCTCGGAAATTCCCACCCCACCCCGTGCATTGAAATGTTGCGGGGCGAACGGGGTGACCACGGTTGCCAAGCGAAGGCTCGGGTCATCTCGATGGGGGGCCATGCGCATCCAATTGGGCCGACGTGCCGCAGGAGATTCACGCCGCCATCGGGTTGTCGAAGGCATTCGGCATCGCCCGCGCCTTCAATGAACTCTTCGAACTGACGGGCGACGGCGACGAGGAGGTGGAGGCGAACGGCGAAGATCACCCGCATCCGCAGCACGTGCCGAATAGCGGGGGCGCCATCCACGAGCTCCCAGACGGCGTGGAAGTGCACGTGCGCATGGAGCTTCGGGGGGGGGGGAAGTACGCGCCCCAGTGGCTGCTGCCGCAGCGCGACGCGGCAATCCCGCAGGTCGCAGATATCGCAGCGCGGGCGCCGATGCTCGTTGAGCACTGCTCTCAGGTCGGGCCGCGCGGCGTGCTGGAGATGACGCCCGGGGCCAAAGGGCGCTTCCAGTCGCACAGCACTTACTGCAACATTCAGGTCAAGATGGCGCGGGGCGCCAACGACCCGGACAAGGGCGCGGAGTTCGGCATCGGCCTTGGGAAGCTGGGGATGTTGTCAGGGCGCCTGTTCCTCAGCGATCTCATGTGGGGCAAGCGCGGGGCGCTCTACAAGAGGATCCCATGGGTCCTCGAGGAGTCGCACGTGGAGCGCGCCTTCGAGCTCGCCACCATCCTCGACGGGATAAGGGTGGCGTTCGGGCAGACAGTTCGTTGTTGGACCCCGTCGGCGCGGCGGAGCTCGAGGCCGCCATCTGCAGGCCCGGCGAGGACAGCGACCTGGAGGGGGTGGCGAAGGTGGAGAACGTGAAGGGCACGGAGATCGCGCGCGCCATCCTGTGGAAGGCAGTCAGGGGCAGGCGCGCAGAGGACTCGGGTGAACTGGAGATACCGGCGAACAAGACTTGGGCGCTGTTCCCGGCCAGGGTGATGAAGGATCGTAGGATTGGCAAGATCTCCGTGCACGTGTTCCGCGAGGTGGCCCGGGCGCGCCCCGGCGTGCTCGGGCGCTTCGACGATGAGTCCGACGCGCTCATCGTCAAGGATCCAGACTCAGGAGAGGAGACCACGGCGCGGGGAAAGCCCTGGCGGACTTCGTCAATTGCAAACTCGACGATTTCATCAACGCGGTCAAGAAGAACGAGAAGGAGAGCCGTGGCACGGCGAAGGGTGCATCGAGGGGCGGGAAGAGGAAGCGCGGCGCTGGCGGCGACTGAAGCGGCCGCAGCGGCGCTGACGGCGACTGATGCGCCCGCGGGCGCCGCGGCTGGCAGGGGGTCCGACTCAGGGGGGCGTTGTAGTCGGCGGGGCAGTCGGCGCGCGCTGACTATTGCAATCGATATCAGGAGCTGCGAGCGTTTGCAGGAGCGACGCGCTCGCCTGCCTGCGGGCGCCCAGTCGAGGTCATATTTTCAGCAATAAAGACATCGCTCGCCCTCGCCACCTCCGCCCCCGCCTCGTCGCAGGTGTCTCCTGGGAGCTCGCGGCTTGCATCTCGGTGTTTCCCTGGGATATCTCGATTAGTCTTGGATCCCCCAGGGCCCCCGTGGGTCGTTTCGGGCTGTGTCAGGGGCCATCTGAGCGCTTGAAATGCGTAAACCGACGTTTGTCCGAACACGCGGGATGCGGTGTCGGGGGGGGCATCGCGAAGCTTGCTGAGCCGTATCGGAAACATCGGGCTCCATCGCCATCCCAATGGACCGATGTACCGCCGCCATGTCCGTCTGGGGGTCGTCTCGGGCCGTGTCCGAACCCTCGGGGGCTGTTCTGAGCTGTCTCGGGAGCTGTCCGGGGCCGTTGGAGACGCCCCGTGATCCGTCAAAGCCGTCTTCAGGGTGGCGGGCGGCTGGCCGGTGCCGCCGCGGCGCTCATCGGACTGCCCCCGATGCGATTTTCGCCCCCCCAAAGATCTGGCCGGGCCCCCGGGCCACGCATTAGTGGTAGAGGTCGTGGCCCCCGAGCCCCCCCCCGGCCCGGTCTCCCATTGTTTGTTCTTATTATTTTTCTCTCTCTCTCTCTCTCTCTCTCTATCTCTCTCTCTCTCTCTTTCTCTCTCTTTCTCTTTCTTTCTCTCTCTTTATCTCTCTCTCTCTCTCTCTCTCTCTCTCTCTCTCTCTCTCTCTCTCTCTCTCTCTCTCTCTCTCTCTCTCTCTCTCTCTCTCTCTCTCTCTCTCTCTCTCTCTCTCTCTCTCTCTCTCTCTCTCTCTCTCTCTCTCTCTCTCTCTCTCTCTCTAGTCTCGGCTCGAGAGTATCCACTCAGAGCGAGCCCCAGGAGGCAGCCTTCGCGCGGCGAGACTGTCATGCTGATGCCTCCTACCCCATCCCAAGTCTTCGCAGGTACTGCCGCCATGGAGCCACCAGCCCAGCGCCGCAATGCCCGCACATGCAGTTCGTTTCACCCTCAGCTACTGCCTGGCCCGCTTCGAGAATACCACTGCCAATTCATCGAGCATAGGCACCAGAACCTTGTCATCTACGTGCCCGTCCTGCACGCGCGCGACCTTCCTGAACCACCTGGCCACGCCCCACGCGTGCTTCGAGCGAATCTTCGCGAAGATCTCCGCATTCTAGAGCACGACGTGTACCACCTGCGCGCTGAGCTGCGCGCGCACCGAGCTGACCACCACGCTCACCCACACGGCACTTACGCCGACACCGACGACTTCGTCCAGCACTTGCCCGCCCCGCTACGGCCAGGTAATCGGGGGGGGGTCGGGCTCCCGACTGCTGAGGGAGACGGTGCTGAGAGCGGTCGGGCTGTTCCCACGCCTGCCGTCGTCGCGCCGTGCGCGACAAGCAGCCGGACCCCGACCCCCCCCCGGGAGCGCTTCCGCGGCCTCGCCAGCACCGCCCTCACCTTCACCGGCATTACCCCGCTGAACTTCGGGTGCGTCCTCGGCCCCACTTTCGGCATCGTTCTCGGCATCGTCGACGCGGTCCTGCGCACCATCGGCACGGGCACCAGGAGCGTCGCCAACAACATCGTCGACTCCACCAGCACGGCGGGTCCAGCCCACCTTAAAAGGGCCGTCAAGGTCGGCGGCATGATCTTCGGCGCCATCGGCACCGCCTGCGGCTCCAAGGGCACGGCGGGTCTGGCCCGCCCCAAACGGGCCACCATTTGCGCCGCCGTCATGCTTGTCGTCGCATCGACCTCAGCATCGACACCAGCACTGCCGACCGCATTGACGCCAGCCCCGACGAGCCCACCGTCATCACCTGCCCTGCCCCCTCGCCCGTGCCCGCCAGCGAGGGTGCAGGCTTCAGGCGCACCTTCGGCTGCTGGGGCCGCCATGCCACGATATGTCATGTCCTCGGCACCTGCATTGATGAGCCTTTCAACATCCCCTGTCCTGACGCCTCGCCCAGGGCCGCTGGCGAGGGTGCAGTCTTCAGGCGCACCTGACGCCAGTGGGGCCGCCCTGCCATGCCATGGCCCGTCCGCCTTGTCGACGCCAGCGTCCGTGCTAATGCCCGCATCGACGTCAATATCGACGCCAGCATCGTCCTCGGCAGCACCCACGCCCACGTCCATGACGGACCACACCCCAGCACCGCAGTCAGCACCGAAGCCAGCTCTAACGACGGCACTGCAGGCAGCCTCGACGCCAGCGGGGGGCACAGATTCGACACCATCCCCGCCCCCTCCCTCGCCCCGCCCCGCTGGAGGAGGAGGAGAGACGACGACGACGACCACGACGACCATGACGACGCTGCACCGACGCCGGCTCCGATGTCAGCATCGACGCTCGCATCGACGGCAGCAACGACCACAGCTTCGCCGACTCCGACGGCAGCATCAACGGCAGCGATGACGGCTCCGACGGCAGCTCCGTTAGCATCGTTCGCATCGCCAGCGCCGACGGCAGCATCGCTAGCATCGCCGGCTCCGACGTCAGCATCGTTAGCATCGCCGGCTCCGACAGCAGCATCGACGGCAGCGACGACGGCTCCGCCTACAGTTTCACCGACTCCGACGGCAGCATCGATAGCTTCGCCGGCTCCGACGTCAGCATCGACGGCAACGACGCCAGCACTGCCAGCGGCGGCTCCGATGTCCACAGCGACCATGCCCACAACATCATTGTCGGCGGACCCGCGTAAACAGAGGGAGCCACGTCTGCACGCCTACAGCGGCCATGCTTACATCCACACCCCACTGCGATACGCCCTATCGGCGGCCTCACCCGCAAGCGCCCACACAGGATCCTGTCATCGGCATTCGGCCGCAAGTGACGCCAGCACCAGTAACAGCCACTCCTGTGCTCCCTGTGCGGCCACTCGCTCGGCGGCGCCTTCAGGCCCGCCGAAGCATGGTGACCTACAGACGCCAGTGTCGCAGTCAGCATCGACACCAGACCCGACATCCACCTCGACGTCAGCAGCGAGGCCAGCACCGACGACAGCTCTGACACTAGCAACGCCGACGTCAGCTCCCTCGCCTGCGCCTATGCCGGTACCCACGCCAGAGTTGCAGCCAGCATTGACGCCAGCTTCGACGGCTGCATCGACGCTAGCATCGACGGCAGCACCTACCACAGCGTCGACGCGAGCACGGCCAGCGGCAGCACCCACGCCTACGCCTACGCGGGCGCCAACGTCAGCGTCGCAGTCAGCACTGACGTCAGTTGAGGCGCGAGCACCGACGCCAGCACTGACAGCAGCTCCGACACCAGCATCGGCAGCGTCAGCATCCACGCCTGCCCCCTGGACGGCAACGTCAGCGTCGAAGGCAGCACCGACGTCCCTGTCGACGCCAGCCCCGACGCCAGCACTGACGACAGCTCTGACACCAGTGACAGCGCCGGCCCCGAGTGCAGCCGAGGCGTCAGCACCAATGACAGCAGCTCCGACGCCCGCATCGGCAGTGTCAGCATCCACGCCTGCCCCCTGGACGGAAACGTCAGAGCCGAAGGCAGCACCGACGACCGCATCGACGCCTGCCTCGACGAGCCCTCGGCCATTCACTGTCCTGACGCCTCGCCCAGGGCCGCTGGCGCGGGTGCCGTCTTCAGGCGCACCCTACGCTAGCGGGACCGCCATGTCATGTTATGACACGTCTGCCTCGTCGATTTCATCGTCTGCGGCACAGTCTGCATCGACGACAACATCGACGACAGCATCGGTACAGTCTGCTCAAGGCTGGCTCAAGGCCTGGTGGGGCGGGCAGGCCACTCAGTCCGAGTGGGGCTGTACCCGCTTAAATTCCCGATCGCACCTGTACCCCCTTAAATTCCCGATCCCTCCACAGTCATCGACGACAGCACGGACGGCAGCTGTGACGGCCGCATCGGCAGTGCCAGTTTTCGGGCGGCCGCCCACGGCGGCAGCCATGTCAGACTCGCCGGCGGCATCATCGTCTACGTTAACATGCGTACCACTGAACGTATCAGAGCAAATAGGTGGGACAAAATGCGTTGTACTTTTCAAGAGCGTGTCAGGGCAGTGCTGTGCACAGTACCCCATGGGCACCCACTGCGACACCCCGTGGGGCAACAACTACAGACCAGCGAAAACAGCCTCACAAGTAACACCTACGCCCACGACTACGGCGCCACCAACACCAGACCCGCACGCAGCTCCGACACCAGCGACAGCGCCGGCCCCGAGTGCAGCCGAGACGTCAGCACCAATGACAGCAGCTCCGACGCCAGCATCGGCAGTGTCAGCATCCACGCCTGCCCCCTGGACGGCGACGTCAGAGCCGAAGGCAGCACCGACGTCCCTGTCGACGCCCGCGCCGACGCCAGCACTGACGACAGCTCTGACACCAGCACCTCCAGCGCCAGCGGCCGCCCCCATCACGCCGGCACCAAAGCCAGAGTCACAGGCAGCAGCGACGTCAGACCCGACACCCACCCCGACGTCAACAGTGAGGCCAGCACCGACGACAGCTCCGACGCCAGCACCGCCAGCGTCACCACCCACGCCCGCGCCTACGCCGGTACCCACGCCAGAGTTGCAGCCAGCATCTACGCCAACTCCGCCGTCTGCATCGACGCTCGCATCCATGGCAGCATCGTCCATAGCTTCGACACCAGCACTGCCAGCGGCAGC